CTTAAATGCATCCGATTTCGGAAATAAAATCCGGTTGTGAACATCAATTTGCAGCCACTAAGACAAACAACCTGTCTATTATTTCTTTATACTGTAGAATTAGACCAGCTTATTTGCTTTGCGCATGCATTTGTTTCACTACCAGGTCTCCAGTTTCCTTTCATTGTCAATCGATCAACCAAACATTTGCGTGTTTGTTTCCCACAAAATGACCTAATATGGAGGAAAACCTGATATCAAGGTGCTCCAGTAATGTTCAAACAGTTTTGATTCGGTTTCTGTGGCGCAGTTGTTGTAAAGCTGCAGGGAGGTGCAGCTATTTGGCAAGCTGAAGGTGCCAGGAGAGCAGTGGTTATGCAACCAGGCTGTTTATTGGGTTTCCCCTGTCAGCAAACCACCGGCAGTACAGCGAGAGAGAGAGAGACAGGAGAGGAAGACAGCAAGCAGATAGTCAGCAGGGAAGCTGGAGCATGACAATCCAGCTGCTGGAGTTAAAACTAGCCATGACTCAGCTCAGGGAGAGATGGGACAGGAAAATAATGGGAAATCGAACCTGCATCTCCCATATGAGCTCAACGTTTCGTCAGCGTGTGAACGAACTACTTGGCAATGGCTTATAGAAAAGATTTCTAATGCCTAGTGATGTTGAGACTCATGTCGTTTAAAAAAGCTTGTGTTTCTGTCTAGTGAAATTTGATTAAGGCCAGAACACCTTTGGTTGCGAAAAAACTAGGGCTGTGCGATTAATCGAAATCGTCATAAAATCGCGATTTGAGCTTGCGCGATTTCTAAATCGCTTTATAGCACGATTTTCCGCATCCCGACCTCCCGCAGTATGCTATCCGAACCAATCAGAATGCAGCACGCCTAAATGGAGCACGAGAACCATTTCCTGGCGGGCATACAAACGTAACGCCAGGTTCACACTCTCCGCCTGTGGTGCGTATTTTTTCCGCGCCCATGTTAAGGGATCAGAGCGTTCACACTGCACTCGATTGCGGTCCGGCAGTGCGCTCCAGGAGCGGTGTGTCTGCAGCAGTCATGCTGCGATCGTTTCTGCATTGAATCTATTTCTGCTGTGCTATACGTGCTGAATTAAAGTGACAGCACATTATTCGCGGTTAAAATTAACATGGATTGACCAGGAAATTTAGTAATTACACCATAAATGCACCACTATTTCAAGTCTACTGTTTCACAGTCATCACATGGCTTTTTGGCTAGATTTAAAACAAGGAAATGTGCACTTTTAGATAAACAAGGCAATAATAGATGGCACTCGTGGTGGTAGTTAAACAAGTGGTAGTAAAAGTTATATTTGAGTTTAAACGTGAATGTCTATGAAAGATTGTACTGTGATAAAAGAGAATCACAATGCTGAAAAAGCATTTTCAGAAACAACGTTTGGATTTGAAATCAAAATAATGGATAAATGTTGTGTTTGTGGTAAACAGCCGCGGATCAGGAGCGGACTGCAAGCGCGTCCTGTGCGAAAGCAAAATGAGTCCGTGCTGCTTCTGCACCGCATACACATACTGTATACGCGCTGCAGATGGAGTATGTGTGAACTTGGCGCAACAAATCTAGTTCAACATCTGAGGCAACGCCACAAAGAGCTCTATGACCAATGCATGGCAAAAAAAAATCCCTGGACATAGGATTTTTTTTCCCTGCCATATGTCTATTCTAGAAACATTTTGTTACACCTTTACTTAGTGATTATTTTGCCTTATGTCTGTTCTAGAGACATGTTACAGCTT